AATGATACAGTGCTGGGACCAGGGGCAGACTGACAACTCATGGGGGAAATAGGGGATTATGGGGCCCCTGTGTCCTTGCCCAAACTCAAAAAAGCCTATGTAAAAGGTACCAGGGGCATCTCATGGGGCCCCCTACTGACTCCCGTCCCTCGGGCAGTGCCCGAGTTTCCAAATGGTCAGTCCGCCCCTGGCTGGGACCTGCTGATCGGCTGTGTCCAATCACAGCCCAGAGCCCTGTGTTGACAATCTACATAGAGCTCTGTACAGAGGGAACAATCTCTTTGTTTCTTCTCCCTCCAAAGCATGCAAACCAATCAATTTACACTTTTGGTTTTTTTTTTTTAACCAAAGACATGTAGCAGAATGCATTTTGGCCTAAATTTATGATGAAATCAGATTTTTTTTTTTTGCTATTTAGCACTGCGCTACTTTAACTGGTAATTGTCATGCTACACACACAAATAGGGCTTTTTTTTGGTGGTATTTGATCACCACTAGGTTTTTCAAAGAGATTGTTCCCTCTGTACAGAACCCTGTGTTGTTTGTCAAAACAGGGCTCTGGGCTGTTATTGGACACAGCCGATCATTGGCCAGGACCTGCTGTGTACAATTACAGCGGGAGTTGGCAGACACAAGTACCCGGAAGAAGCCAGCGAGGTACAAGTAGGAGCCGTCTGTTGGAGCTGCCCATCTGCAGTACAATGAAGACAGACGGTCCTGAAGTTATTAAAAAAACTATTATACGATCACATTTTGTTGGTGCCCATAAATACTGGTACAATCGTACAGCATAAACATACAATGGAAGTCGCAGCCACCCCACTTATCTGTACTAAAAGCCGAGGTGTGCTTCACAGTGGTTAAACCAGGTATCCTGTGAACCAGAAGTGAAGTCGGTGCCGACAGGACCCGCGCCCAATGCATTTCGTCAATGGGCATTATCAGGAGGATGCACAGAATGCATGAAGGTAAAAAAAAAAAATCTTCAGCCTTTAGAATCACTTTAAGGGGGGGCTGTGGAGCTGTGTTTTTCCACCCCAAATTGCAAAGGTAAACTTTGCTTAAGTGTGCAAGTGTACGTAGCAGATATTATGTTATTTTAAGGCAAATGGTGGACACACCAAACGTTGATTTGAATTTAGTCTTTTTTTTCGGCGCTTTATTGGTTTTGATGAATAAAAATTATTTATTTATTGGTTTTGAAAGCACCCTCACTTTCCAACATTTTGCACAATAATAAAAAAAATTAAAAATAATAATAATAAAATATATATATATATATATATATATATATATATATATATATATATATATATATATGACTTAGTACTTGTTGGCAATCACAGAGGTCAGACGTTTCCTGGAGTTGGCCACCAGGTTGCACACATCTCAGGAGGGATTTTGGCCCACTCCTCTTGGCAGATCCTCTCCAAGTTATTAAGGTTTGGTGGCTGATGTTTGGCAACTCGAACTTTCAGCTCCCTCCATAGATTTTCAATCGGATTAAGGTCTGTAGACTGGCTAGGCCACTCCAGGACCTTAATGTGCTTCTTCTTGAGCCACTCCTTTTTTGCCTTGGGTCATTGTAATGCTGGAACACCCATCCATGACCCATTTTCAATGCCCTGGCTGAGGGAAGAAGGTTCTCACACAAGATTTGATGGTACATTGCCCCGTCCATCGACCCTTTGATGCGGTGCAGTTGTCCTGTCCCCTTAGCAGAAAAACACTCCCAAAGCAGAATGTTTCCACCACCATGTTTGACAGTTGGGATGGTGTTCTTGGGGTCATAGGCAGCATTCCTCCTCCTCCAAACACGGCGAGTTGAGTTGATGTCAAAGAGCTCGATTTTGGTCTCATCTGACCACAACACTTTCAACCAATCCTCCTCTGCGTTATTCAGATGTTCAGTGGCACACTTCAGACGGGCCTGGACATGTGCTTTCTTGAGCAGAGGGACCTTGCAGGCACTGCAGGATTTCAATCCTTGTCGGCATAGTGTATTACCAATTGTTTTCTTGGTGACTGTGGCCCCAGCTGCCTGGAGATCATTGACAAGATCCTCACGTGTAGTTCTGGGATGATTCCTCACTGTTCTCATGATCATTGACACTCCACAAGGTGAGATCTTGCATGGTGCACCAGACCTAGGAGGACTGCCAGTTTAGTGATTCTTCCATTTGCGAATGATTGCACCAACTGTTGTCACCTTCTCACCAAGCTGCTTGGCGATAGTTTGGTAGCCCAGTCCAGCCTTGTGTAGTTCTACAATCTTGTCCCTGACATCCTTGGACAGCTCTATGGTCTTTGCCATGGTGGAGAGTTTGGAATCTGATTGTTTGATTGCTCCTGTGGACAGGTGTCTTTTATACAGGTAACAAAATGAGATTAGCAGCACTCCTTTTAAGAGACTGCTTCTAATCTCAGCTTGTTACCTGTATGAAAGACACCTGGTAACCAGAAATCCTGCTGAATGATAGGGGATTGAATACTTATTTCCTTCATGAACATGCAAATCGGTGCATAATTTGTTAGACATGCATTTCTTTAAACTTTTTTGTTGCTATTCTGTCTCTCAGTGTTACAATACACCTACCATTCGATTTTTAGACTGATTATATCTTTATGAATGGGCAAACATTCAAAATCAGCAGGGGATCAAATACTTATTTCATTCACTGTGTATGTACAGTGGGGATCGAAAGTTTGGGCACCCCAGCTAAAAATTTGTATTTATGTGCATAAAGAAGCCAAGGAAAGATGGAAAAATCTCCAAAAGGCATCAAATTACAGATTAGACATTCTTATAATATGTCAACAAAAGTTAGATTTTATTTCCATCATTTACACTTTCAAAATAACCGAAAACAAAAAAATGGCGTCTGCAAAAGTTTGGGCACCCTGCAGAGTTAATATCTTGTACTGCCCCCTTTGGCAAGTATCACAGCTTGTAAACGCTTTTTGTAGCCAGCCAAGAGTCTTTCAATTCTTGTTTGAGGTATCTTTGCCCATTCTTCCTTACAAAAGTCTTCCAGTTCTTTGAGATTTCTGGGCTGTCTGTCACGCACTGCTCTTTTAAGGTCTATCCATAGATTTTCAATGATGTTGAGGTCAGGAGATTGTGAAGGCCATGGCAAAACCTTCAGTTTACGCCTCTTGATGTAATCCCCCGTGGATTTCGAGGTGTGTTTAGGATCATTATCCATTTGTAGAAGCCATCCTCTCTTTAACTTCAGCTTTTTCACAGATGGCATCAAGTTACCATCCAAAATTTGCAGGAAATTTTATTGAATCCATTTTTCCTTCTACTCGTGAGATGTTCCCTGTGCCACTGGCTGCAACACAACCCCAAGGCATGATTGATCCAACCCCATGCTTAACAGTTGGACAGAGGTTCTTTTCATTAAATTATGTGCCCCTTCTTCTCCAAACGTACCTTTGCTCATTCCGGCCACAAAGTTCAATTTTAACCTCATCGGTCCACAGAACTTGTTTACAAAATGCATCAGACTTGTCTATATGTTCATTTGCAAAGTTCAAACGATGATTTTTGTGGTGAGGACATAGAAGAAGTTTTCTTTTGATGACTCTTTCATGAAGACCATATTTGTACAAGTATCTCTTTATAGTGGAATAGTGTACCACAACTCCAGTGTCTGCCAGATCTTTCTGCAGGGATCGTGCAGTCAAACGTGGGTTTTGAATTGTTTTTCTCACAATCCTGCGAGCTGTTCTGTCTGATATTTTTCTTGGTCTTCCAGATCTTGCTTTAACTTCCACTGTTCCTGATGACTGCCATTTCTTAATTACATTCCGAACAGAGGATATTGACATCTGAAAACGCTTTCCTATCTTCTTATAGCCTTCTCCAGCTTTGTGAGCGTCAACTATTTTCAGTTTCAGTTTTCTGGACAACTGCTTAGAAGAACCCATGGTGCTGATTGTTGGGGCAAGGTCAGATGAGCCTGGGCATTTAAAACCTTTGAGATTGACATCACCTGGTCTTCCCAGACGATGATTGAGAACAATCCATGACACTGGCAGGTCTCAGCTTGGCAAAGGGGGCAGTGCATGCTATAAAATTCTGCAGGGTGCCCAAACTTTTGCAGACGCCATTTTTTTGTTTTCTGTTATTTTGAAAGTGTAAATGATGGAAATAAAATCTAACTTTTGTTGACATATTATAAGAATGTCTAATCTGTAATTTGATGCCTTTTGGAGATTTTTCCATCTTTCCTTGGCTTCTTTATGCACATTAACCTCCCTGGCGGTATGATTATTTCAGATTTTTGGTGCTGAAAGCGGTACCATTTTTTTGCATGGAAATATGTATTTTTTTTATTGTAGGCTGTAATTTTTAGGACTCACTGAAAAATGTCCGAACAAAAACTCACTGAAATCTGTCCGAACAAGAGTCTAGTAAACATCCCGGGTAGGATAAAATTTGAAACACAAAATCATAAATTATAATTTAATAAATAATCATAAAAATAATATAAAAATAATAAAAAAATTAATTCAATAATATAATCAAACCAAAAACACTGAAATGTGAAATAGAGCGCCAAGTTCGCACATTGCTGAGCTCAGTCGCAAAATCGTTTTCAGTTTCTGATGACGAATTTCCCCACGAATCATTATCACTCAATTCTGCAAGTGGTTCTGATTTTACTATCGCTGTTCTCTAGCTGATCTAAACCGCTTTTGACCTAAAGGGACACTTTTTGGACGCCATGGACATTTCTCAGTTTCCAGGCAGAAAGAACAGACAAAATGCAGGCAGGGCACAGGACAAAGCACTAGGGACAAAATGTATGTGAAATAGGTTGAAACAGCAATGTTTTACTGTGTAAAATGAAAAAAAAAAAAAAATGACATTTTTTAAAATGCCCGTACGTCCCGACGTCACAGGGACAGGACACAGAAGCCGGATGCCGGCATCGGCCGGAGGAGATGGCCGGGGACGCTGCAGGGGACACATCGTGGGAGCGCAGGGTAAGGTAAGTGAAGAACACATGCCGGAGCAGCGCCGCATGGTATTCCCGAGTGTAGCTCGGGGTTACCGCTTTTGGTACTGAAATGTTACCCCGAGCTACACTCGGGAATACCGCCAAGGAGGTTAATACAAATTTTTAGCTGGGGTGCCCAAACTTTCGATCCCCACTGTATGTATGTATATGTATATGTGTGTGTGTGTGTGTGTATATATATATATATATATATATATATATATATATATATATAGTAAATATTAACCGAAAATGCATTTTTTCAATTTAATGGGTAACTATGTTCTAGTTTTGAGTCAAGGTCCACTTTAAATTTCAATCTATATCTTCATTAGCAAGCAACAAAGACACGTTAGGATCTGGTCGAAAGGATCATTTACAGATTTTCAAGCCAAACCTAGAGAAATAAAAAAAAAAAAACAGAAATATGAAATTAAACAGGAAAGGTAAGAATAACTGGCAGTATAGAATTATGCGGAGGTATCGTGGGGTCTATTTATTTCACAATAAACACAAACTTCCTCCCCATTTTTCTCTGCTCCGCACCTTCACTTAATATGTGCTTTATGCCAAAATATGTTTTAAAAGCTTCTTTCATTTTTTTCACCCAAATTAAACAAACCAGTTCATCATGGCTCCTGCCCAGAGCTATCCAGCAATGTAAGCTGTCTGACTGTATACAATGTTTATGCTGAGCTGACATTAAGTTTTGCTAAACAACTTCATATCTCTATGGTGGATACAGAATCCAGAACTTCAATAACACACTGCAAGGGCCCACAGGGGTTTGTCTTATTTTACAGGGAAACGTATAAAATGCAATACAACAGGCACGTGTTTACCAGAATATGGTTTGGAATGCGCAAAAGTAATAGGAATTGTGCTGCAGAATATTACATTTTTAAAAATCAGTGTCAGTTTAAATATTGAAAGATATGGGGCATAGATGACAAGTGAAAGGAAATGTTAGGGGATGCAGTTAGACAGATTGCAGTTTTGCAAATTGGGATTAGTTAACCACTTCCCGACCGGCCGTTGCATATAAACAGCCAGACGGTGGCAGTACAGGGTCGGGTGGCTGTTTATAAACGGCCTCCCCGCAACCTGCTTGTGTACGCTCCCTGGGGAGCGCGCAGCACTACGATCAGGTGCCCGCTGTGTCCCCCGGACACAGTGAAACACCGATCATCGGACGGGACCTCTCTACGAGGTCCCGATCATGTGATCACTGATTGGCCAATCAGTGATCACATGCAAAGAAGTAAGCAAGATGTCACTTGAATGATCACAGAGGTCACATGGTACAAGGCTATTCACAACAGCCTTGTACCATGTGACAAGCTGTGACCAATCACAGCTCACTCAGTACTTCTCAATGAGTGCAAGAATGCAGACAGAGAGAAAGAGAAATGATTGCTTTTACATCCTATATGGGTGTAAAAGCAATCAGTGTAAAAAAAAAAAAAATCATCATCACCCACCACAAGTAGTACAGTGTCACTATGGTGACACTGTACTGCTAGGGTGACAGTATGAAAAAAAAAACAAATAAAAATAAAAAATAATAATATAAAAATGTAAAAAAAATGTTTAAAAATTATAATTTTTGGTTATAAACTAATTTGGATTTTTTTTTTTACTAAAAAGATAACGGAATAAATTTTGGCCAAGATTTATAATGGAATATTATTTATTTGCAAAATTTTATAAAAAAAACACTTTTTTTCAAAATGTTGGGACTTTTCCATTTACATAGCAAAAAAAATAAAAATCCCACTGGTGAATAAATACCACCAAAATAAAGCTTTATCTGTCTCAAAAAAAATAGTAAAAAAATTCATTTGGGTACAGTGTTGCATGACCGCGCAATTGTCATTTAAAGTGTGATAGCGCTGAAAGCTGAAAATTGCCCTGGACAGGAAGGGGGTAAAAGTGTCCGGTCTGGAAGTGGTTAAGGAAGAAAGGGTGAGAGAGAATTGAAGAAAGAGGAGGGAAGAGAGTAGAGAGGAGAGGAGAGAAGAATGGAGAGAATAGAGAAAAGAGGAGAGAAGAGAAGAGCGAAAAGATGAGAAGAGAGGAGAGAAAAGAGGAAAGGAGAGAAAAGAGGAGAGGAAATTGAAGAGAGAAGATTAGAGAAGAGAGGTGAGAGGAGAAGGGAAGAGAAGAGGAGAGAAAAGAAGAGGAGAGGAAGAGAAGATTGTAAGCTGTAATGAGCAGGGCCCTCTGAATCCTCCTGTATTAAGTGTTCTTGCATGGCTAGACCACTGCCTGTTATCTCACATATATATTCTTATTATGATAGCCAAATTTACCACCCTAACTCCTCCCACAGTTTTTTACACGACATAGACAGTAATATACCGAAATGTGCGGATTGTTCCCGATTGGTGTGCTATTACTTTGTGGAACGTTTGGCCGAATGGTCACGAAATATCAGCTTTTTTGTGACAAAATTGGTCCCATAGGAATGAATGGTGGAATGTTCAAAACTAGAGTGTGAGCTGAAAAATCAGGACAAGATTTCTAAACTGCCATCACTCCCTCATTTTCAAGCCCACATACACAAATCTTATATCAAAACGTTCAGCTAACCCTGCTGCCACTAAAAATGTCCACGGCTAAGCCATAGTCCTGACAGTTTTCACAATATACCCATTTGTTTGCAAACTCACGCCGCCCATTGACATTCATTGAAACTCCACTCTAGCCATCTCAAATTTGAAGGGCAATTTCTAAACTGCGACTGTGCCTTCATTTTTAATATTTCAGAGACATACTATGCATCAAAATGTAGGTCTGGGTCTTGTGATTCTCACAATATAAAGGTGGAGGCAAGAACACTTCACACAATTTCTCCAGAAATTGTAGCTTTTCTAGTTTGTACTGTAATTGTACTGTCTACCCTTATGTTGTAAAGCGTGAGTAAACTGTTGGCGCTATATAAATCCCGTATAATAATAAAAATTAAAAAAAGAAAGAGGAGAGGAGAGAAAAAAAAAAGAGAAGAATGAAAGAAGGGAAGATAGGAAGCAAGGAAGAATAAAAGTAAGGATGTAAGAAAAAGGAAGAAAAAGAGGAATGAAAGAAGAAAGGAAAAGTAGAATAAAAGAAGGAAAGTAAGCGAATAATGAAAGAAGGGAAGGAAGGAAGAATGACGGTATGGAGGGAAAGAAGGAAGAAAGAGAAGGAGGGAAGGAAAAAAGAAACTGAGAAAGAAGGAAAAGAGGAATAAAAGAAGGAAGGAAAAGTAAAATAAAAGGGAAGGAAGGACGGGAAGTGAAGAATGAAAGAAGGGAAAGACGGTAGGAAAGAAAGAAGAAAGGAATGAAAGAATGGAAGCAAAGAAGAAATAAATGAAAGAAGAAATAAATGAGGGAAGGAAAGAAACAAGGGAGCTAGAGAGTAAAATGCACCAGTCGCATGACCCAGCTCTTTCCCAGCCTGTCTGTAGGGAAACAGTGGCAGGAGCTTCTAGATCTCTGCTGCTGGTCACATGTTCAAAGTAAAATAAAAAAACAACCTTTGCAATACAGAGTAAAAATAAATATTTAAAGCAGAACTACACTGAACTTGAGCAACACAAACCATTTTTAATATTCAAAGCAATCCCCCCATCCATCCATGTCTCCAAGTTTTATTTTGCTGACAGATCACTTTGAAAAACAACCCCTAGCATTTCTGGTCATGGCCATCTTGAGTAAGGGCAGATGATTCATGTAGCATTTACTTCCTGGAATCCATCTGCCCTTAGCTGATGCATGCAGACAGGAGGGTGTGCTTAGCGGAGAAAACCCCTCCTAAAGGCACCTGGGGTGTATGATGTCATTTACCTAGGCCTGGAAACTGAAAGTAACTGAAGAAATGCAAAAAAAAAGTTTTAAAAGTAAATATGACATGCTTTGCTATCTATTTATTAATGCTAGCAGCATAAGGATTAAAAATAGTCAATGTTGATTGAGAGAGTGAAGTTTAATATCAATAAACAGTTTTAAGTTGGCATCCAACTATACATTTGAAAACAAATATTTTATATATTTTGGCAATAACACGATGTGGGCAGATTTCTGCCAGTCACAGGCTGTGTCATGCCCCCCCAGCCTGTGACTTAGAATAACAAGAAAGTGAATCCTCCATCAATCAAGATGTGATATCCAATTGTGTTTAGCTGGCTAGTGGGCATGGAGGAGGAGAGAGGGAGTGGGCTGTTGAATACCACTGTGTAAATGCCCACATGTGTGTCTCTATAGTCACATGGGCTGCTCAAATGTGACAGGGAGAAAATGATCGGCATAGAAATTCACTGAAAACTGAGCATGTGCACTAGCTGCCAACATTGCACTGCAGAATCCCAGCTGAGAGGAGGGGACATGGACAGAAGGGAGAGACAGAGAACCATAGGATCAACCAAGTTTTTTTGCAGGATACAGAAAATGAATCCCATAGTGACTGAGTGAGTATGAACAGCATGTAATACAGCATTTATGGATAGTTGTAGCTGTGGGCATTGTGGAGAAATTCATCCTCGAATTTCAATGGTTTGCTTTTAATAAATAGTTTGTTGTTCATCCTTTGTTACATCTCAGTGTTACAGATCTTCTTCAGCCTATTTGCTGCCACTTCCCGTCTACATGCACGCCTGTGGTGGCTACATGGCATTTCCTGCATTCTACACTGGAAGCCTGTGTGACAGGGTGACAAGACTGGGCAACAGTTGAGAGACAGGGACAGAGCATTGTCAGCCCAGAACAAGAAATTCCTAAAAACAAGGATCTTTATTGAAAGCTGCAGATTGATAAAAGAATAAAAATTACTTTAGAAATGATATAAGTAATGGTGTTAGGTGTAACAAGTGGGAACCAATCAGTATAGTGTGTATGCCGCTCAGGTGAGTCATTTAACTGCAATTCAGAGCGGGTGCCCGGCCCAGGTTGCCACTGCAAAACATCCAGGATAAATAGAAATTGGTCTTAGACTGCCACAGAACTTATGCAAAAATTTCTTTAATGCCTCCACAATCAGGAGAGCAAAACAGGACAAATTGTTGACGTGTTTCACACTAAAACCACATAACAAAGGAGGTATCAGGAGCAACACAACAGCTACACACCTGTTTC